AGTGTCAGCAGCATCTGCTAAACGCTGATTGATGCTCCTTTACCAGAGTTGATTTTGATGTGTTAATATTTTATCTCTGCCATGTGGCAGAATAATGGTTATTTTGATTAACTGTGCAGATTTTTTTGAACAAGTCATGTTTTTATGGTTAACATTATGATATTGTTGCCCAGCAATCCATTGTTACTTAAGTAGCAGGAAAGGGCTTTGCATTTCAAGGTAAACCATCTAGTAAAAGCTTTTTTTGTTCTATTTGATAGCACTTTATCTGTGGGTTAAATTCTTATCCGTAATATGGCCTTTATTTTATTTTTTTGCTGTAACTATGAACTTATGAGGGACATAAGTTCATAAGTGTGTTCCTCTGCACAATCAACTACTTCAAAAAATATCTTGTTTTAAAAATAATAATTTCTAAGGACACTACTGAGGGCTAGAGGGCTGTATGGAATTCTGTTCTCTGGAAATGCTCTTTGGGTGGACTCAGTTTGGTATAGAGGCCCTGTGTTTCCCATATGGATACATCACTCAGGTGAGTGAGTTAGTGAAAAGGTAGGTGGTCTAAAACATGTGGTGGAGAGTCTTCCACAGCGGTAACTTCACCTTTTCTAATTAAAAGCTCTTCCTGTATCTGAACAATGTCTAAACAAAGTGTCTGCTTGCACTGGTCAGCATCTACTTCTTAATCAGAAAGGGCTCCTCAGGGCCAGGAAGTTGAGCACTTTTAAAAATACCAACCCTTTTTTTTGTTGTTGTTGTTAAATGCTGGCAAGATGCTGAAATGTTGAAAATAAATACAGAAGCTGAAGCATTTAGCTTTGACCAAATGGCTTCAGAAACTTGTTAAATACATTTTTTGTTGGTTTTTCTACTCTGGCTATAATGAGATTGTAGGACTCGTTACCAAACTCTACAGAGTGTGTGTATGTGCTGTTTGGAGTGGGAGACTCCAACTACTGAAGTCCACGTTTTCTAAGAAATGTCTCTATATTGTGACTTTAGAGAAATCAGCTTTTCTCAGTATTTTTTTTTCTTGCAGTTCAAAATAGAATTAAGAGCAGATAAGGCAGCCTTTGTTTATTTGAGACATCTCTGATTTGTGTGCCATTTGAGTAGTTAGTAGTAGTTAGTTCAATTTGTATTAAACTTACCTTTAAACAGTTAGCCTACTTGTTAGTAGAATAAGCCCTGCTTTTGTTTTGGGCACAGTAGGAGGGATGACCAAATGCCTGTTGTGGTCGGGGTTTTGTGCATGTGTCTGCGTGCGTTGGTGCGTCTCATAGGTCGAAGCAATATGTTATTAATGCGACGCGAGGCTGCTGCCTTTGTTAGAGAACAAAGTCACTCTACAGGCAAATCCCTAAGGACCAGGTAGTTCCAGGGCTTCTTGGACAGGTTTCATTTTATGTCAGGCCCTGAATGTCAGAAGCTTCAGGAGGGACTTAGTATCCTTCCAAAATGGAAATTAAGGATCCCTTCCCCCTCGTCTTGGTAGATAATAGTGTTAGCATCTGAAGCTGTGCATACCAGGGAGAAAAATTTTGCCTGAACTACAAAGAGATCTCATGTCTACTTGCCAAGGCATGTTTTTTTTGAAGTCTTTTGAATAATAGCAACTGTTTTAAAAGCGCATTTGTTGAGGAAAAATACATTAGATCACAAAAAACGAGGAGGGCAGGTTTGTTTCTAGTGTGTGTGAGAACATTCAGGCTTATGAATGTTGATCTTAATGTGAGAAAAGATTGATTAATTGGAAATGTATTTTAGTTCTTCTCGAAACGATACGGATATGAATGCAGCTGAAGAGCAGCCTGGGTGCAACCAGTACCCCAAAGAGGCCGTGAGGAAGCGTCAGAATTCGGGCCGGGGTTCCAGGGGCAGCGATTCCTCCCGGACCTCCAGGAAGAGCTTCAGGCTGGACTACAGATTAGAAGAAGATGTAACTAAATCAAAGAGAGGCAAAGATGGAAAATTTGTCAACCCGTGGCCAACGTGGAAATCGCCAACCTTGCCAAATATTTTGAAGTGGTCCCTCACGGAAAAAAATAACAGCAATGTGCCGGGCTCAAAACAGGTAAATACTTGCATGTTTTCGGTTCCTGGTATCACTTGCTTTTGCCCTTTACCCTTATCAATGAAATAGGAGAATTTCTAAGCAGTAATTGTTAAGCTTTCATTAGTTTTGTTTTTCACCAATTTTAATACTACCTCCTTTTGAAAGCATGAGTTAATCCTTTCTGAACCTTTTTATTTTTTCTGTCCTGTTAGTTCCACCTTTGATTTAACCAGCTCAGTTTATATTTATGAAAACTACAAAAGTGGCCTCCTAGTTCAACCATAAACTTCAATTATGCTGCTGCTTTGCTTGCCCTGTGAATCCTATTGTTGACCAGTGTTCATACTGAAAATAGCTCTGGCATCCCTCACTTCAAATTTTGGGCATTTTTTTTGAAAAAAAAAATGTACCAAATAATAACTGTCATTTCCTTGTGGAAGTGTTTTTTCCCTGGCCTCCCCTGCATTCCTTTGTTTCACTACATACTGCAGCATAAACCAAGCGATTGCATTTGTTAAAGCTCCCCTGAGCGAGCGCTCCTGAAATGTTGAAGGTGCAGTGTTAATTTAATGGGAAATACTGTTTCTTGTTCTTTACTTCATATATCTCTCAGATACTGTATATTAAGGTGGTGATAAAAACGTAAAAAGAA